ATTATCTATTAAAAGAAATATGATTAGAATATTATTTCCATACATAAATAAACAAACATGTAAAAAATTGCAAAATTTTATTAAAAGCTGTGCCTAAAAATTGTGTGTATATTTTGATCATTTATACTGATTACACAACCATAAATATCATCAAATATAATAATTTATATCAAAATTATACAGCTTAACACACTGCTTAAAAAACAGAATACACGAGCAAAAAATGTTCATAATTTACACTATTTAGAAATTTGTAATAATAATGATACAGATTTATATTGAAAATAACCTAAATGCAAGAACGAATTCGTATATAAAAATATATGCAACATCACAAAATGTATACCAATTGAAAATATCAAGTTGCAATGACGAAAAGGCATACAAGAAGATATATAATAACAAAACCAACGTAAAATGTAAAAGGAACTTCGCGAAATATTATTTAATCCTTATGTTTTGGGAAGAGACGAACAGGTTAGGGTCGACTAGTGACGATAAATCGAAAATTAAATGATTTAGCAAGTATTTCTTAAAATAGTCCCGTTTTTCCTAAAACGGTTGCCTAAGAGAAGAACGAATAACTAAGCGTCAGAGCGATATGCGGAATGATCCTACTTGTATCTGCGAGTTTTGCGAAATTTCAGAGGATCATGCCGTCCGACACAAAGGACTAGGCTTACCTAGAACCCCGAAAGTTTTCGGAATTTTTTGTAATACAGAAGGTTTCGAAAGATAATGAAGTAACAAAAAGAAAAAGGATAAATTTTGACGTGCGCGGTGAGAATATGACGAAGGAGGATTATTGGGCGCATCACAAAAAACACCTTCTTCGTTGTGTTGTTGCCCGTAAGCAAGTGGTAATAATTCTTCAAATGGATGATAAAGAAATCAGTCGTGTAGGTTTTTTTTTACTCCTAAATCAGTACAACGACGTTGATGTGGAATATTTTCTGCAGACCATGTGCACGGTAGACGCCATTTCTGGATTTGCGAGGAAGGCTTGTCAACCATCGCCGCGATGGAGCATTGATAGATCTCCGTAAGACGATCGAGTTAAAATATTCGTAAGTAACTCACAGTTGTTATAAGTGATGTTTGTGTATTCAGAGGACACGTCCAGAGTCAGAAACAAGCGAAATTCACGACACCTCGGCTTTTTCGGCCGTGGCGCGCGAAAAACCACGAAAAAAACAACAAATTTGTTCGTACCTGGTTAGAGCGCTCAAAACGCAGCTCGGTCACGTGACCGCAGACCCCCCTCCCTAATACAGCAGCACCGCCTCTGTGCTTTATCAGGTCCATAAGACTAACCAATTTATGTTAGAAAGTTCAGGGTCGCTAACTGTACAATCACAAACTTTCTAGATTTTTATAAGAAACGCTATGTTAAGGATTCTTTTCAACAAAGTATTTTCATGTCTAATAACAGAGGTGCTGACTCAAGTGTGCTAAATCAGTGTCCGCGGGCACTCTAGTGACACTCCTCTCATGAAAAGTTACCTTCTCTACGCCTACTTTTACATATTTGTATTCAACGCTACATAGAACTGCTCACGTACACAGTCTTGAGCACTTACTAAAGTAGAAATAATAGAGTACGTTACTTTCGAGTTACTAGCGTAAGGGAAGTGTAAATTAGATTTAACCGCCTCTGTACTATATAACATAAATTCATAAAATACTAATATGTAAAGAGCTTCGCACATTTGGGAGTTTGAAGACTCAGCAACATTGTAATGGATACATTTGTATGCTGATTTACCATATTTTCTATTTGGTCAACTTTGATCATTTTGTTTGATCTAGTTTTCCGATTGACCATTCTGTAGGCGTAGATGGCAGAGCAGTCTCTGATCTTTTACACAGTCGGTAATTCAGAACATGTGACACCGAGTTCCATAAGCTTGCAATGTTTATCCTATACCTCGCTGTGATTGAACACTAAAGCATATCCCGTTGTTTGAAAGAAGACCCTGGGAAGGGATTCGAATCTGAGTGGCCGGAATCTAGTGTGTTTTTGGCTCTAGTGTGCGATTGGTCGAAACGGTCGCATACATTAATTCCGTCGCGTCACCGTCGCAGCACCGCACGTCACGCAACGCACACAACGGGAAACCCCTCTTGCCCCCGTATCGTTCTTTTAAACGTACTGTTAAAGCTGGTTAAAATACAATTTTCGAAGTATGTAGTAGTTTTTCTTTTTCTTTTTCTTTTGGTGAACGACATTTCAAACCTCTTAACGTCTCGAAAATTAAGAATACCTTTAATGTGCCAGGAAAATTTTCTCTTGACAAACTTCATATGTAAAACATTTTACTATTAAAATAGATAATATAAGCATATATTAACCAACCAAATAAAGGTGAAATATTTTTAAATTTACTCTTGTATTTCCCTTCTCAATGTACCATAAATCTTAGTCATGTTTGAATAAACTAGGAGGAAAACAAAGGTTTTCTGACATCAGGTATTATATCTAGTATGATATCGCGTTGAGAACATTTGTACTGTAACGCTATCGCGTGAATTGGATAGGCACGGTACGACGGTAACGCCGGGCAAGGATAGCTACGGCTGCGTTCCGTGGTGGAAGCTCATAAATTGAGAGGGAACTACGAACGGTTTAGCGAGAACATTATAGACACAGTATCTTATTGTAAAACACTCAACGCGGACGGCCGAGCTGAGAAGAAGTCGGAAACCAGAGAATTGTTATTTTCAGCTAGAATCATCTTTGGTCCTCACTTCAGCAAACCAGATACATTGTAAGGGGTCATAAATTCTTTTCCAAAGATTGAGACGGGCTACATTTGGTCCTCACTTCGGCAAACCAGATACATTGTAAGGGGTCATAAATTCTTTTCCAAAGATTGAGACGGGCTACATTTGGTCCTCACTTCGGCAAACCAGATACATTGTAAGGGGCAATAAATTCTCTTCAGAAGGTTGTCACGTGTTACATCCGGTCCTCACTTCGGCGAATTCGATACATTGTTAGCTGTCGACGCATTCGCTTTTACGAGAACATTGCGTGTTTCTCTGGGTCCCGCGCTTTCTCTCAGCATATGCGCATGGAATCGTTCCCCGCGGATTAACCAGATCTCCTCCACCATTGGCCCAAGGAGACTCGGAAGGAGAAAACAGGACCAGGGAAGAGGGGATGCGAGCCGACAACGAGCGAGATTTACAACGAAAAAGCAGAACGATTTCAAACCTCGAACGTTTAACTACTTGTAAACTTAGAAATAAAGCATAAGTCAAAATTTCCACAACCAAAAGTATAAGTTTTATTTCACGCGCCACGAGCAGAGTATCTTAGTACTCCACGGGCACCTTACCCACATAAAGTTCCCTAAATTTTCCCTAACCGCGAACGGCGTAACGCAACAGTACAAATTTTCGTCATTTTAAATAATCAGATACCTCTGGTATATCAGTGGGGTTAATATATTTGTAAAACTTTAATATAAAATAAGGAAATTTATTTAAAGCATCGATACAGCCTTACTTAACAATATTTCCGAACTTGTAACATGACAACACTTTGTGTCAACACTAAAAACGTTTTGAAATTGACGCCATCCTATTAAATTCGATGATTTAATGACATAATTTTCGTCAAAAGTTGAAAAACATCATTTTTACAAAAATTGATTTAATAATTACGTTCATATTAGTATTGTTAGATAGATCCGCCATTTTGAATTTTGCATTTTTGATAAAATATTCGGATTTAAGAACCCCAAAAACGTAAATTAGGGGTGTCTAAATTGGTACGCAGGCACTTTAGTGACACTCCCCTCACGATAAGTTACCTTCTGCATACCATGTACTTACTTTTACCTGTGTGTTATGGACACTTCATAGAACTGCTCACATACACACAGTTCAGGCAGCTTCTCGGGTAGAGGTAGGGGGAGAACGCTGTTTTTGAATTATTAGCATGCTGAGAGTAATTAAATACGTTTAGCTTAAAAGATTTACGATTTATATCTGTATATATATCTTATATAATGTTTATACTGTAGTGTTTATATTATAACCACATTTATGCTATAAATTTATCCAAGTAGGAAAAAATAACATAACATTTATTACAAAGAATTTAAAGTAATCGACTTTATGAATATGAAGACATTAAAAATGAATACAGCAGAATAACATTGCTTTTATAAAAAAATAGGAATAAATTTAAAAAATTATATGTTCAATAACATATATATACAATATATCGAATATTGTATTGTAATATAATTCCAAAAATTACGATATACTTGTGTGGGTGATGGCAAAGTGGTCATACTTATGTATATTAATAACTATGTTACGTCAAAAACGTCTTACTTCCCTCATGCTAGTAACTAAAAAACAGCGTTCCCCCATTATCTGTACCCGAAGTGCTGTCCAAGACTGGTATGTGAGTAGTTCTATGAAGTATTTAAACAATTGGTAAAAGTTGGTATGGAGAGGATAACTTTTCGTGAGGGGAGTGTCACTAGAACGTCTGCGGGCACCGATTTAACATCCTGGTGTTACGAGTTAAAATAACGGTTGACAATGTTAATTGATTACAGTTATCAAAATATTTTATAAAAATAAACATTCTTGTTAAATTATTAACAATTCTATCAATTGGTACCATTATGGATTCTTATGTAATACAGGTAATCTTGTTTATAAAATTTAAAGATGTAATGAAGATGCCAAATTTAAGGTTATGTTTACTATAGGTCAGACGTATGTGGTTAAATCAAGATGGATATTCTTTAGCGGTAAATATATATTCAGATTAAAGAGACGTATAGTGATGAGATAAATATGATGAAATTTAAATAAGTTTTTCTTTTAAAGGATTTATTATCTTTGAGACATAATCATGTTTCAATTTCTCAAATTGGTTCTGAAATTGCAATGACAAAGGCAATAGAACATTTATCTGCCCCTTTAGATGGCCTGGCGCTTTGCCATTTAAAGTAACTAATTAATTTAAGTTTTATTATATTATATTATATTATATAATCAAATATTATTCAATTATATTTGAATGTTTTATATTTTTAGAACTATAGCAGCAATGAACAAAAATGATCCATTAGCTATGTATAATTATCAAAGCTTAGCAGTACAATCTTTAACAAAGATACTTCAAATGCAAAAAGAAGAAAATTGGATGCTACCTGTTATGAATATGATGTGCTTAGAATTAAGATTATTAGCAGTGTGTGCTGAAAGTAGAAAAAGTAATAAAAGTTCGAAACCTGGAGAAATATTAGAGAAATGTGCGGAATGTCTGATGGGTTGCTTTAGAGTATGTGCTTGTGATAATCGCAGTTCAGAAGATGACACAAAAAGATGGGGAATGCTGGCATTAGTTAATCAATTATTAAAGATTTACTTTAGAATCAATAAACTACATCTGTGCAAGCCTTTGATAAGAGCAATAGAATCATCACCATACAAAGCACATTTTGCATTAGCACAACAAATTACTTACAAGTTTTTTGTGGGACGCAAGGCAATGTTTGATAGTGATTACAAAGCAGGTAAATATTAATGATTAAGATTTAGTCAAATGAACTTAATATATTATAATCAAAGTATTAAGTATTTACAAATTATTTCAATCTTTTGTAGCTGATGAATATCTCACATATGCATTTGAGCATTGTCATAAAAAATCTTTAAAAAACAAACGACTAATTTTAACATATCTTGCACCAGTGAAGATGTTATTAGGATATATGCCAAAACAAAGCTTATTGGAAAAGTACAACTTAATGGAATTTTGGGAATTAATGGAATCTGTTAAAAAAGGAGATTTACGTAATCTTGAGAAAGTAATGGAAAAACATGAGACTTTTTTCATAGGAGCTGGTATATATTTAATTGTGGAGAAGTTAAAAATAATAGCTTACAGGAATTTATTCAAGAAAGTATATTTAGTATTAAATATACATCAGATTCCCATCCAAAATCTACTTTCATCTCTACAGATGCATGGATTTGATGATGTGGATATGGATGAAACTGAGTGTATAGTAGCAAATTTAATATATGAAGGAAAAATTAAAGGTTACATATCTCATCAGCATAAAAAGTTAGTCATATCCAAACAAAATCCTTTCCCAAAGTTATCAACAATACCATAAATATTATTATGTTATTTGTATTATATATTTTTTAATAAACAATTTAAAGCTGAATAAAAATTTGATTTCTTAATAAGAAAAAGGATAATTAGCTATATATATGTATATATAATGTTGTTAATATATATATAATATATATATATATATATATACATATGCATGTATTATGATGTGTGTATGTATGCACGTATACAACACATGTCAGAAAATTGTTTTAATTAAATTTATTAAGATACATTAAAATATTTCAATATAAGCTAGTAATTTACAAAATTGGGTTTCTTCGAATATGAGTTCGATTATATGTATTGCGCGCACGAAATCTAGTTTGCATATCAGTTGATAAAAGGAGGTGGAACGTATGTAACAGTACAAGACGGCAATCGAGCGCGACAAGTGGCAGAAGTGTACAGAAATTTCGTACTGTTGATTAATGATATCCTTCCGTTGTAATCGTATACTCAAATTATTCGACTAAGAAAATATAATCATAGTGTTCTGCTGGTGTATACAACGATAAAAATTCATCTATAAAATGCTAAGTAAAATTGTTAACATGATGTACTATCGATTCACAGCGTGATTGGTTAAGCTAGTGTTCAATGCAAGTATGGCCGCCCTGCCATCACCCACGCAGGTATATCGTAATTTTTAGAATTATATTACAATATAATATTCGATATGTCGTGTATGTTATTGAACATATAATTTTTAAAATTTATTTCCGTTTTTTATAAGAGTAACGTTATTCCGCTATACTTATTCTTATTGTCTCCATATTCATAAAGTCTATTACTTCAATTTCTTTGACAACAAATAATTTTTCAATTTCTTTGTAATAAATGTTATGTTATTTCTTCCTGCTTGAATAGATTTATAACATAAACGTGATTATAATATAAACACTACATTATTAAACATACTACCTATTATGATAAATGTCTATCTACAGATTTACGAATGTCAGTTATGATAAGCTTCATATTTCCGGCAGTTAAAATTTACATCTACTAATATCCTTTAACGTGTTGTAGTTCATAATGTAATGGGAAGGTATGTAATAAATTCATTTTTACAGGTGGCTGGAAGCCATACTGCTATATACGAAGCCTATTACAATCAGGTATGTTTTAGATATTTTGACACTGAATTATAATGCATTTAAATTATATTAAAATTATATTAAAATAAAATATTAATTTCTTACATTAAAATTATCTGAAGGTTGATCCGAAAGGATATGGACGAATTGGTGCAATGGAAGCTGCGAGATTTCTTAAGAAATCTCAGCTGAGCGATGATGTATTAAGTCAAATATGGGATATGGCAGATCCACAATCACGTGGTTCATTAGATAAATCTGGTCTTTTTGTTGCTCTGAAATTATGTGCCCTGGCACAAACAGGAAGAGATGTTAATATGTCAAATTTAAATATGGAATTACCTCCTCCAAAAATGGTAAGATATTACACAAATTAACATAGTAAATAAATCTTGTTTCATTTCTTATTGTTAATTATTTTTAGGGTGATATTCCTGTAATTTCTCAAAAAAAAGTAGTTAATAGTTTGCCAGTAATAACACCTATTAGTAACGAAGATTGGTCTATTAAACCAGCGGAGAGAGCAAAATACGATCTACTCTTTGATAGTTTAAGACCTACAAATGGATATATACCTGGAAATAATGTTAAAGGTGTTCTTCTTGATAGTAAACTTCCCTTAGATACCCTTGGAAAGATTTGGGACCTTGCAGATATGGATAAAGATGGTATGCTGGATAGACATGAGTTTGTTGTTGTAAGTATTTAATTGAATAGATATATAACACCCTGACTATTATGAATTTCTTAATTTTTCTAATCATTACATATTGTTTACACAGGCTATGCATTTGGTATATAAAGCTTTAGAAAAATATGCAATACCAAGTGTACTTCCACCAGAATTAATGCCACCTAGTAAAAGAAAAGATATTACTATGCCTGTATCGAAATCTCCTGTACCAGGTATGACAACAGGCCCACCACCTATTCCACCTTTACCAACTGTATCTGCTATGGCTGGTTTAGATATGGGAAAGGTATCTTATGTACTGTAAATCATAAAACTTATTATAATTTAAAAAATTGTTTATTTAATATAAAAATGTATAATGCAGACAAACGTACAATGGGTAGTTTCTGTCGAAGAACAAATAGCAGCAGAAAAATTGTTTTTACAAGCTGATTTAGATATGGATGGATATGTCTCGGGTTTAGAAATTAAAGATGTCTTCCTTCAAAGTGGACTTCCACAGGCTGATTTGGCTAATATATGGTATTTATGTTTGTACTATTTTATTGGTCAATTATAAGTACAAGGAATAAAGAAAAAATTTCATATTTTAGGAGTCTTTGTGACATATGTCAAAATGGAAAGCTGAATAAAGAACAATTTGCTTTAGCCATATGGCTCATCAAACAACAACTGAAAGGTATTGATCCACCGACAACTTTAACTCCTGACATGATACCACCTTCAATGCGTAAATCCTCAGATACCATTATGGTAAGTAATCTCTTATTCATTATATCTTATTCATATATATATATATATATATGATTAATGTATAGTAGAGCGTTTACGACCTTTAAATACCCTCCAAAACATTATTACAAATACAATAATGATCAAAATTCCACCAATTATCATTGCACTATAATTTATATGCAATTTTGTTTCTCCTACTACATTTAATTTTATTAAACCAGCAATTTCATTTTTCTGCCAACAACTGTAAACAAAGATATTTATTATATCAAAAATTGTTATTTAATTTAATTCCACATGGATATGTACCTATAAATATTTGTATCTTCGAATTTTAGTGATTTAAAGATCATATGCATTTGTGGATTGATATGAATTCTTCCTTCCGATTGATTTTCAATAACAGACGGATTTAATACATTACTACCTACTTTCCAAGTAATTGGTACATTTACATTTAAATTTCTGAAAAATTTGTTGTATCAAAAATGTAACTTCGAACTAATAATTATCTATTTATTATTTTACCCTGGACATATAAGTGCTGTTTTTTTCTTATATTTTTGAAAAATGATTGTGCATGTAACTGGTGGTGGCAATAGAGGTATTCCTTGTAACATAGAATATATTTCAGCACTGTTGTTCGCACTTTCGAGTAAATTTCCATCTTTATCTCGTACTTCAAATATTTCATTTTTTGAACATTTTATCTAAGAACACGCGTCTTATTATATAACTTATTTCATATGTAGGATTGTAATATATTCTTAAACATTGCATTTAATGTTTGTATTTAAAAGATATGAAAATACCTTACAGTATCGGATCATTAATTCTGTATTTCTATTTTTAATATCTGCAATATCCAGAATTTCTTTTGGTAAATATTCACTTTTACATGGCAATTGATTTTTAAATACATACAAAACTATTTTAGTTTTATTAATAACATTTTCACTTAAATCTGTTTTTTTACTTGTAGTTTCCAAATTTGATTGTCCTATTTTTTTTTCAGTTTGTTTATCTAACACTTGAAAATTATTATGTGTTATTGAAAATTGTTTTAAAAAAACTCTTATTAACATAACACAAAATTTAAAAAACAATTTACTTTGTCTTTCAAGTTTTTTGTCTAAAGAAATTGTGCAATATCCGAAACGATTTTTTTTTCCAACCACATTACATGTGGAACATGGAGACCATTTAGTCCATGTTGTGTAAATAATTAAATTATATTTTGTTAATACTTTTTCTGGTACTGCATGAGGCTTATACAATGCTGTTTCCGGATATACTATATTTATTTTTTGAGAGTCATGATCGATTGAAAGATAATAAATTGTTGATAATGTATCTCCTAACTTACACCAATATTGGCCAGCATGATCAGACTAAAAAATTGTATAATATTTTCATTATTTTTTCCTATTTTATATATTTGATTATTTAATCGATGAATTAGATAGATACTCTAATATTATATATCATTAGCATTTTGTCATTGGGTGAAATTAAAATGTTGTTTGATTCTTCTATAAGTTTGTTATTTTCATTATTTGATGCCATTGAACTATTATTATTAAAATACCATTCTAAATTGTCATTTGTATATATTTCGATTGGAGAAATACATATTTGGCATTTTAACCTACAATTATGTGAATTAATGAGTACAGTATTTTATAGTTAAAATAAGATTAATGTTTCATTTATCATACGTGACCAGTGTTCCTTCAAGGGCTATAAGTGCAATTGGATGCAATGTTTTTTCTGCTTTAATTTTGGTGTATGTTTTTTCCAGACATTCATAATATTCTTGCCATAACTGTTTATGTATTACTCTAAGTGTTTCATTAGCTCTCGGATATTCAAACTCATTGATATTAAGCAATAACTTTGTCCCTTTATAAAAATTAAATTTTATGAATTACATTTAAAAAATTTAATTTTATGAATTAAATTTAAAAAATTTAATTTTTCATATTAATAAATGTTACATTGTTACGTATATTTACCTTTTCGTTTATTAAATATTTCAATTACCTTTTTACGCAGTTTATCATATTTTCTTCTAAAATTTGTTCCTACTACAATATTAAATGATATGTAACTTAAAATATATAAAAATAAAATAAATCTTAATTGCATATTACATATAAACTAGTATAGTTTAAGTACT